AAGGAAACTGTTTTCGTGCATGTTCAAAAGCAGCACCTAGAAACAGCACCAGTTAAAAATCCTATACGCTTGGATTAGATTTTTTTTCTACATTGTAAGATAGTGGAAGAAATCTGAGCCAAAATACTGTTCTTCCAGTTGTGCTGACTGTCCTGTTCTTTGGCCCAAACAGATCCTTTTTTACTGTGTTTTTATAACAATTGGCAAAACAAACTAAAGCAGTAATGTCACTTGCTGCCCTAACCTTTGTCCTTGTTGTGATCCATGTTGAAGCCAGCAGCCAGTCAGGGAGGCCAACAGTTATATATATATAAACTATAAATATAATATAACTGCCTGACAAGAAAACGCTGGCTGTTTAGAGATAATGGCCTGGACCACTGTCACAATAATAGCCTCCCTCTGCGAAGGAATGTTGCACCGCCAGTTCACAGTCCTCCCTGTTGCCTATTTATAGTACACCATAATTAATACGTTGTAATTGAAGCATATAAGCAGAGCTGGAACATACAGCGAGCAGCACATAGAAGCCTCATGCTCTCACGAGGGGGAAAAAAAGTAAAGATGTGAAATGATAGTCGTCACAGCTGTCAAATCACATATCAATAGACATTTCTTTCCTTCTCTTTTCTGTTTCCCAGGGCTAATCTTCAGCCTCGAGTCATTATAAATAGGGAACAGAATACGCAAAATAGAGCAGTGCAATTCTGTCATCATTTCACACAGACAAAGGAACTTTTCCACAGTATATGACAGAAAGGATTAATAATCATCTATTACTGCCAAAGTTCATCAGCTTCCTGATTCGTGGGGTGCCCACGTAGCCTCAAATCACGCCGATGACATCTTGGGATCCATGTTTCGCTGCTGAAGTGATAATTCCTGGGAGGTTCAAACCATCCAATTTAGCACTCTCATATTATCACGCCGGCTGTAATCCGTTCATTAGGGAAACAATCTCAAAGTCCTTTTTGATAATTAATGGCATTTAAATGATGATGTGATGTACTGTATATGTGGGAGCAGCCTTCCTTATAGCATGTTAATGATACACAGCATTCTGCTAATCAGTCAATTAATCACCATCTTATGAATTTAATCTCTTACTTAGGCCCTGTTCTACATAATGGGTTTTAAACATTCAAATCCATGCTTGGATTACAAATGAGGCTCATTCATTGTGCCATGCTCTTCTTCAACAGGTCTTCCACTGACAACCTTTTTTTTGAAATGGATATGTCGCAGTAACACAGCACAAGCACAATGCATCTATTGAAATTTTTTGCAAGGATCTCTTAATCTATGGTTTTTTTCTTGTTTTTTTTTTCTGCCCTTTATGGGCGGATAGTTCATGTTCTTCAACGGTGGTATTGTCTGATTGAAAAAAAAAACTTCCCCACAATATTTGGATCTCTTTCAAAAAGCTCAAAAGCCCATTCTGCTTTGGTGATTTCACACAGCACGACAGAAAACAAACTCATGTTTATTTAACACGTACTTAAATCTCATATCAAGAGCTCAGTTTGTCAAAATGGCAGTGAAATAGAAGTCTTTAATTTAGAAAAGTAAACATGGTGGTGGAACAATTTGTAATGCATTGCTGGATTGGCTTTTAAAATGAATCCAATCAACATACAAATTTTAACTTTGGCCTTCAGCTTTTGTTAAAAACATTTTACTTGATGTTCCTTCCAACCTTGGTACCTTTTACAAAAGGATTTTAACTAATGACTAATGACTAATGACTTCATTAATGGCTAATGGCTAAAAGCCAAAAAGAATAACTTTTGGCTTACCAGGTTGTGAAAAAAAATGCTCTGGCACATAACCTCTCATAAAACAGCAAAGTGTTGTTTTTACACTTGATTGTAGCATGATTTTGTTACCTTTGGACAGAGTCAGGCTAGCTGTTTCCCCTTGTTTCAAGTATTTATGCTAAGCTAAGCCTGCGGGCTTCAGCTATGTATTAATTGGACAGCGTTAAACTCTTTATTTTACACCCAGCAGAAAAGGCAAATTAGCATATTTCCCAAAATGTTGAAGAAAATTCTTAATTAGTGACATTTATAACCACAGACTTGATGGCTTATTATAAAGTGTGTAACCCATGAGCGCCAATGTATTACTAACATTTATAACTGCAAAATTACCAAACAGAGACCCCAGCCACTCTCACTGCAACTGGTCTCCCCACCACCGTTTGCGGCCCAGGGCACAGTGCCCCAGGCTTCAGAGGCAGGTGCGACAACATCTTACAGCAGGGTGAGAGCCCCCCCCCCTCAAAAGTTATTCCCCTATTTGTCATCCAGCCTCTTTGCCACTCGTCGTTAGAGCACCATGGCATCGAACATAATGTGCTTGAAGCTCCGAGTGGAGCCATGATGTATTCAAACACGTGTTTTGTACTATCTTGGCAAAGGAGGGATGGACAGTTCTTTCATTATTGGTGGTTGTTTCTGAGCCACAGTTATTGCAAAATTTCTGAAGCCACACGCTGGAAATATTAAGCTTGACTGACTGAAAGTTTGTGTGCACAAGCAGTAATTGACAATGCATTAGAGACTCCTATTGGCTCTGATTGGATGTTTTGTTCAGGGAGCAGTGTATTCTTACAATTGGTATTAGGAGCACTAGGATTTGAAGATCTGTGGATTTATTTTTACAGATTATCTTATTATGTACCACTGTCATAGTATGTCATAGTGACAGTTTTAGCAAATATAACAAAAAGTTTTTTTAACAGAATTCCCTACTGCAGCTTTAACCACCAAGCTGGGTCGCCTCCTGTTGCTTTGATTTTGACCTTCTTTAAATCTGTCTCATGTAGGTCCCTCATTTTTATGGAAAAGCAATACTAACTCACTAGAGTGCCCCTTTAAGATCGATATTTAATGCTTATATGCACTCAAGGGTTTTTAACTTGTCGTTTTTTATCACATTGAGATATATTCTGAAAAACTGAAATAAGCTGGAACAATCCAACAGGTCAGGTATAACCTGTTCTTTACTGCACTGAGACACACTGTAGAGGCAGAAGTTTCATGGTCACTTTGCTTTAGCCAAACAAGTTTGGTTATTGGAGCGCTGCCAGTGCTCTCTGAATGATACAGTCGTATCTTGATTTGAAACGTACCTCAGCTGACAGAAACACTAATGTGATTTATTTGTGTTCTGCCTGAAGGATCCAGTGACAGGAGGAGTAGACAGAAATGAACAGAGAGAGCGACAGATAAATTGTAGTTTCTGCTGAAGCTCACCAAACTCAAACCAAAGCAGACGTTTCTACTCAATTAACACGTTTCACTTTCTTCTCCCCCAGCCTAGTTTCCTCTCTATGCTAATATTTAGACATGCTGTGTTTCTGACGGATGAGGCCAGTGCATAAGTTGGGCTCCTGCTGGCGAGTTAAGCGCTCGGCATCTGTACAGTTATTTTTTTTTTTTTCAGAAAGTGCTGTAAACATCCGAGTGGACTGTTGATAAGAGGCCTCCGTTGACCCAACCTGTCACACGCCTCGACACACACATCAATTGGAATATTAAACAGGTCAAAACAGAAACACCTTGAAACATCATTCAACAAAAATAGACTGTAAATGGAGCTTGAAGCGAAGGTAAAATAAAACAAGAGGAATGTTATTTATTATCAATATACAGTTTGGCACACTGTAGATATTGAGCATGCATGAAGGAGACATATTACAGTTGAAATGTGGTTTTGTTTTCTGTGCGATTCATTTTTATACAAAAGGATTTTGTAATTGGCATTTGATAAGGTTGCTGAAAATAGTTTCATATTTGTACCAAAATACTTTAGTATACTTTAATATATCAGTGTTTTGTATTTTGTAAATCATAAATACTTTGTGAGAAGTCTATGTGATGACATTATAAAAACACTGCCTCTGATTGGTGCCTACTCAGTAATTTTCCCAGACTTGTTGAGATCAGAACAGAAAATTAATATAGACCCGAGGAAGAAGGTCAAGGTGAGAAACATATAGGTTTCCATCGCTTCTCATCTATCTTTAGCATAAATTGCTACAATTCTTTTGGTGTTCATTTTAGTAGCCTGGGCTAAATCATTTACCAATTTCAAAAGTTCAAGTCAACCTGAGTTGCAGACCTCACAGTTAATGTTAGATCTGTTAACTGGTTGCATATTTCAGATTTATCGCATGAGAAAAGTTGTTGCTCTCAAACATTGTCCAACTGAGTGAGGGTACTGGTAAAGGGAAAGATCAAATAGTACGATAAAAGTTTTGCAAAGTGATTTGAGAAAGTATTTTTATCATTTTTGGAATACAAAAATACAGTAGTTTATTTTGATACATGACGTGGCTGCTGTATTTTGTAGTTTATTTTGATACTTAAAATTAGAGTATTAAAAATACATTTTGATGAAATTTTGCCCATTGCTGACTGCAATCACTGCATAATTTTCCTGTTTCATTTTAGAAACTACAGTACCTCAGATTGACTCAAAAAATGTGCAGGTAATAAACTCTTTGCCATAATTTTTCCCATTTACCCTAGGAAATATAGTGCCAAGTAATGCAACAAAAAAAAAAGAAACAGAGTTGCAGAGCAGTTCGCTATTGTATGAGACTTTAAAATTGGTTTCTACAATTTCTTGTAATAAATCCTCTATTAATTTAACTCCCAAAATTAAACTAGTCAGTATTATGGCCCCAAATATGCTGAATATAATAACATTACCATCTGAGAATATTAAGCCATGCATCCAGATGTCTTGTGACACATCAGACAATTGAGAGGTAATGACATCCTGGAGCAGTCTTACTGTAACATGCGCAATATGTTCTGCCCTATCAATAGTGAAACAGGCTATATTTGAGCCAAGCTGACACATTACTTGGCTCCTCATATGTAGAAGGCCGTTGGCAATGAAAACTGTGTTATATGGCCCAGTAGTGCTGACAGGTTTATTTCTCCTCTTCTACCCTCCCCCTCTTCTCCTCTTTATTTCTCCCTATCTAGGCTGGCACGTGGCAAGCGGAGGGGGGAAGGATGGATCTTCAGTCCGGTGTAAGAGCCTCCCCCCAGGGAAGCCAGCGTCGGACGCAAGGCCTCGTGGGCCGTTGACCTTCTGTCTTCGTGATTTATGGCGGCTGGGGGCCTCTGGCCACTGCAGACTCCTCTCCTCTCTCTCTTCCGTTTCCCTTCACACACACTGCAGGATTGCAAGGAGCCACACACACTGCACCACCGTCTACAGGAGTACCCAAAGTGGAATTCCTCGCACATGCTGAGCTGCAGCACTGGCACGCATTCATCCGCTGCCTCCTACACTGTCTCATACAAAAATAAACACCTCCATAAACATTACTACACTGCAGCACCGTGTCCTGCAATCCTATCGCATGCCCATTAGACCAAGCCTGCTCTCTGAGTAGACTCCATTTGACTGTGTGTGGATTACTATCAGTCATGGTGTGTCAGCTGTAGAGCCCTTGGTGTAGCTGCTGCTCACGGGCAGAGTTGGATCAATGGAAGTGCGCTGAGTAACGAGGTGATGTTCCTGTTTTCACATGGTCTGAAAGCAATCAGCAGCCAGCATCTCTCCGCTGACTCTACACACTGCTCTCCTTCTACATTGCAATAACCGTCCTCCTCTACGGACTATCAGTGCAGTGACTTATTGTATTATTTTAATATTAGACACACCAGCTGGACATTTGGTCCTATGCACACCAGAGCTGTCAGAGCACATTAAATATATTTTTTTTCTCCAGACGTAAAGGTGTATAGCGGACACAGTGCCGTATTTACCTTTTGGACTATTTTTACTTTTGAAAGCTGGGGACTGAGAGTGAGAGCCTGCAGGTGCCCTCACCATGGTGTTGCCACCCCCAGACAAACGCCACGTGTGCCTGACCACCATCGTCATCATGACCAGCATGGCCTTCATGGACGCCTACTTGGTGGAGCAGAACCAGGGTCCCAGAAAGATCGGTGTGTGTATTATAGTGCTGGTAGGGGATGTATGCTTCCTCATAGTGCTGCGATATGTGGCAGTGTGGGTTGGTGCCGAGGTGCGCACCGCCAGACGAGGCTACGCTATGATCCTCTGGTTTCTGTACATCTTTGTCCTAGAGATCAAGCTCTATTTTGTCTTCCAGAATTGCAAGGCAGACAGGAAGAGTTTGGAGACAGTGGCCCGGAAGGCCTTGACGTTATTATTATCTGTATGTGTACCAGGTTTATACTTGGTTCTTGTGGCTCTGGACAGTATGGAATATGTGAGAACTTTCCGTAAGAAGGAGGACATGAGGAGTCGTCTATTCTGGGTGGCTCTGGACCTGCTTGACCTGCTGGATATCCAAGCAAACCTGTGGGAGCCCCAGCGGACAGGCCTGCCCATCTGGGCCGAGGGCCTGATGTTCTTCTACTGCTACATCCTGCTGCTCATCCTGCCCTGCGTTTCACTCAGTGAAATCAGCATGCAGGGGGAGCACATGTCACCCCAGAAGATGATGCTCTACCCAGTTCTGAGCCTGGTCACCATAAACGTGGTCACCATCCTCATACGAGGTGTAAACATGGTGCTGTTTCAGGACAGCCGTGTTTCCACCATCTTTGTTGGAAAGAACGTGGTGGCCATCGCCACCAAAGCCTCCACCTTCCTGGAGTACCGCAGACAGGTCAAGGAGTTCCCCCACCCACAGAACGCCATGGCGCTAGAGCTGCAGCAGAACTCTGTCAGCCACACGCAGCCGCTACCCAATGCGACAAGTTTGCCACATGAACCTTCACCAGCGCAGGACGTCATTGACACATGACCGCCAGCGCTGACCTGAGCACCATTAGAAACTGACTGCTTTTTATGAAAGCTCCAGAAGTGGAGTTAGATAGAGAAATCAGCTGCATGACAGGATGATATTCTGTTCTTGTCAAGCCCACATGAACTGCTGCGAAACCATAAAAGAGATTTTCAGCATCACCTGCCTGTCAGAACATACTGTAAACCTACACTTGACTCTGAGTGCAGCGTGCAGACTTTAGAAATCAAGTCAAAGGTTTTTATCGTGCTGTTGTGTTTTTAATTGTTTCAAATGTTTTAAAAGTTCCAACATTTATTAAGAGACAATCTCCACACTGCGCAGCCCAGTGACATTATGTTGTGTAAAATGGATCGGTGAGTATCTTGTATTTTTTAAAGGTCACTTTTTCAACAGTGCATCTATGGCATTTCCTTTGAATTCCAGCACCAAAGGACATACCACTCAGTGTGAAGCACTGATGGAGAGGAGAGAGTGACAAGGGTCAGTCATGGGGTTCTATCTGGGCTGTGCTAAAGCAAGGTTGGTGGCAGACAAATGCTTTTCCTTCTGTGTTTGTTCTGCTGAGAAATGAGGTCTGGAAGCTGCTGCCTCGATCAGTGTGACACTTTACGACCAAAGGTCTGATTAAAGCACTGGAGCTCAGCACTATACCGTCAACTGCAGGCATCCAAGCGTGTGTTTTAGTGTGTGCCCGTGTGTCTATGTGCACGCACACTAGTCTCTAGAGTATGTATGCCTGCAGCCGTACCTGTCCGCCACAGGAGGATTTAGGTTATTTCAGATTGTTCTGGAACAGATGCAGTTGGTTGATGTGTGTGATGAATTGCAAATGAGACAAAATACGTAGAGATGTCAGAAGAATAAAAATATGATCGGGGTAAGATAATTTTTGTTTCCTGTACTGTACATTCCTCTAAAACTAGCTCAAGCCTTGAAGTCAGAGAATACGGAGATCAGAGTCCAGAGAACGCCTAACTGAAGAATTGACAAAAGATAAAACATACATACAAAAACATACAAACAGAATAGTTTTTCTGATGTTATTCAGTTTATTATTATAATTATCCTTATTATTATGTACATTCTTTACTTGTTGGAGGCCAATGACGTTTTAATAAAAGCATAAATAAAAGAATAATGATGACAGCATGGTTTCTTTTTCCAAATTGTTAATTATGTTTTAATAAATATTATTTTTGGGTGTTTGGTGCTTTTGTTGTGCTTGAAAGCAACATGTACACAACAGCAACAGTTACAGCAAAACCATTTGAGTTGTGTTTTGCATGGAAGAATCCACACAGCACATAAATATTTAGGCTGAGCATCATCCTCCTGGACTCTGGCATTCATTTCCTACCCCCAGGCTCCCACGTTTGAGGAAAGGAAGCAATGAATTCATCTTTAAAATGTGATAAAAATGTATGAACCTTTCCTCAAACCATTTCCCCCTTTTTTACACAGTTCTCTTTATCAACTTACCACTTGCCTTTTTGTTCTGTGAACACTAATCTTCTCTGCACCGACCCGGTGTCAGTTATCAAATAGAACTTTTACAGCTGATGAATTGCCTTCGTGTTCCATAGAGAATTTTATTAGCTGACCCAAGTGTTGTGGTGGGAGGTGGAGAAGGCAGCCACATGAGGACAGTCACTTTAGTGTCGTCAGGTTAACGAGGTTAACTGCTGACCTCAGCTCACGGAGACACACTCTCAGACCCTCAACGGCCCCACTCCATTAACGATAACTGTCAGCTGCAGAGTGACAAAGAGACTGGATGATTATCAAAAGAGTTTCGCTTCTTTTTACTTAACACAACCATAATGTAGGACATTTTTATAAAGATTATTCTGATTTCATCCATGCTTCTCTAAATAGTGGAAAGCCATTTCTAATTGAACCATTACAGCTAAATCAGACTGCAAAGACCAGAACAAGCTTCAGTCCTATTATCATTTACAAAAGGTACATGTGACGGCAATTATTCTTTGCCTTAAAGCTATTATTTATTTAAGTTGTCTTCATTTGTAGGGTTAAACCTACAGAAAAAGGACAGATTTAAGTAGGTTTGCTCACTGCATAGCCAAATATCCATAGCAAAGCAAAGACAACCAATGCAACAGCTTAATTATATTTTTATTTATATTCAGGTAAAATTGTGCTTGGCTGGCAAATTGCTACAAGACCAAAGTTATAGTTTATTTGCTTACTCGCAAAGTAAAGTTTTTTAGCAAAATATGCAAAATGCACAGAGAGGAAGACTCACACAACCTTGTTCAGTAAGGTACAGCACCGCAAGAAACTAAATATACACAGTGAAGTGCTGATATCATTTCTCACGCCCACTATATGGTTGCTTCAAGCTCATCAAACATCCAATCGCTTAACTGGGTGAGCAGGATCAGTTTGGAGCTTACGGTGTCTGTACAAACTGCCAGTCTCTTCTCTCAGAATCTCTTCTGTAGAAATATATTGATTGATCTTGCCGGTGGAGTGTTAAATATTTCTGAGGCATATCTCTCCGGGCACATCCAGTTCATTCTGGTTGTCTGTTTTCACTTCAGCTCCTATCTTACAGTAACTCCCCACCATGCGGCCTAATTACAGACTTGAGAGTGTGAACATAGTAAAAGAGACACAGAGAGAAAGAAGGCATTCATTCCAGATATTTCCTAAATTCCAGTTATTCAGGATCGTTCCGGTTCACAGTTTTTGATTCATGATTCCTATCAATACAAATAACATTTAACTCACAAAGTAAATTGCTGAGATCTGGTTACATGGAGACATCACAAAAAAAAGATCGGAGCAAATAAACATGTGATCAGGAGATGATACAGTACAGTAGTACATGCACATTTCTTTTTCCCTGCAGCGAGGGATTATTACTGATATTTTGGTTGCCCTGACTTTCAGTTTTACCTCCAAATAAAGTGGTTCAGATAATGGACTTTTTGGCTTGTTTACAACCGATCTGATCCTCCAATGCACTCTCATACAGTTGTCAGTTCTCCCAAAACAAAACATCTAAGATCCTTTTCCAAAATGACAGGTGGACCAGACCTTAAGTAGGTTACGTAAGTCATCTACAAAACAATTTTTAACATAAACATGTCACCTTTGACTTTACACACAGGACTCAAATCTCCATTTCTTGACAGAAACTTCTGAGTTTACTTGACTCAAGTAAGACTGCTTTAAAAAATAGACATTATAATAGATTATATTTATCAATTAAAGCCTAATGATTTTGCACTGTACTGTGTACGTAATGTTTGAATTGTAACAAAAGTCCTTGGTTAGACTCAAACCTAGGATCCACTGTTGCATAACTACATTGCTGCTGGACACCGGGGTACAATAGATTTTCTGTTAATCTGCTTTTTCACTATGCCTAAATTCGTTCTCCCCCTGCATGCTGATTTCACTGAGTGAAACGCAGGGCAGGATGAGCAGCAGGATGTAGCAGTAGAAGAACATTCTGTTTTCACATTAATGCAAACATTCCATTACACTGTTTACTGTCAGTCATTCGTCACTCACAGGAAGACATATAACTCTCCTGCAATAAGTAATCCCTCAAAATCTTGTCACTTTACACACTTTACTGTCATGCAGGTGTCTATATTTAGAACGTTCTTGTTAGCGGGGACAGCAGTTAATCTAGGTTTGACTCGGTGCAACGTAAACAAGTAGATTAGGGGAAAAAATCTAATTACACACCTCGTGCTCCACAAAATGATTTGTTAAATATAAATAAGCTATAACTCTAAATCTTGAAATGACACCGGTATCGTGTTTTACCGCTAGCAGAACAACAGACGCAGCATTGTGAGGTGACAAAATGTCTTGAGGCTTTGTAGCCTACGCTGATAGCTGATAGCTTGGTTGGCTTTCTGCAACTCACATTATTAAATCTCTCTTATGCTGTCTAAACAGTAGACTCAGCAAAAAAAAAAAATACTCAAAGAATGGGAAAGGAGGTCCAACATTTAATTAAAAACGTCCTCCTGTATGAATAAGAGCCACAAAACCAGTCCTTGGTAATATTTAGAACCTTTATGTCTGTGACTGTGATCAAATCTGTGTTGTCGTCTGGATCACAGCTCATTGTTAGGCTTACAGCATAATGCCACTATTGTTTGAATAATCTCGTCCGAGCAAGTGGTTGAAAGGGGGTGGGGGGGCGGTAAATGGCAAACTTGGGAATAGAATAAATTACCTGTGGCTGCCTCTGCAAGAGATCGCCTTTCCAAGATGCGGGGGATTCATCTATAAATCACCAGGGCTGCAAATCAGGAATGTAATTGTGCTCTCTCCATACGTAATAAGTGGGTACATGTGCTTTTTCTCTCTCTGCCTTTGATTTACTGTGTATCCATGACTTCCTGAAGCACTTAGTCTCTGCAAAATTTAATCAGAAACAATCGGATGAAGGTGGTGTTTCCAGTGTTTCAGACTCTCTCTTTGGACCACCCTCGGATTTGCTGACTTGTGGGAGTTTATCCACTCAGTTGCTGGTTACTCTCTCTGATTCACCCTTTTTAGTAAATGTCTCTCTGTTCTCATACCGTAATCACTTTGTTGGCCACTTCAACTTTACTATGCACGTTGTGCAGTAATCTATATGGAAATCACTTTGACTGTGCCTCTATCATAAAACTGCAACACATTTATTGTCCACAAGAGGCTGGGTCAACCAATAATGACCTTCAGTCCTACCAGAAGTTTCTAAAGGTTAGTGAGACAAAATGTGTTATGGATGATGACATTTCTGCAGCCATGTGTTTGCATATTCACAGCTCTCCATGATAATTGCTCTAGGCCTGGTGTTTGCAAACTCGTTAGACTTTGAGATTTATCCAGTGGCCAGAAACATGACTCCAAATGAATGCTTATGTTGCTTGATGTGTAAATAGGTAAATGTTGTTGTTACCACAATCAGGGGCATAGCACAAAATTCTGGGCTCTGTACATAGGCATTCTCGATGGGCCCCTCCCAGCATCCATGGCTATTAATTTTAGTATATCTGTGTTCTCAGTCCCCCCCCCCGCACCAATTTTACCAATATGTCAGTGTTGAATTTACACATTATTGCGCTGCCAAGTGGGGCACATACAACAGATTTATGTAATCAGGTAATGATGAGATCTTCTGCAAGAGAGACCTGAATGCAGCATATAGTAGGAAATATAGCATCAGAGTATCAGACATCGCATAAATAGATTTGAAGAAGAAACTTTATATTGTATCATTGTATCATTTAATATTAGAGATGGTTGTGGAGAACTTTGTCTTACACATTGGTCCAAAATCTTCCATAGGTGTTGAACTGGATTGAGATCTGGTGACTGTAACGGCCAATTCATTTTATTCACGTCATTTCCATACTCACCAAACCATTCAATGAAGTTTAGTGCACAGAAGCATTTGCATTCTCCTCTTTTATCAAGTTTTCCCTCTGTCTGTATATCTTGGTGCTGAAACAGATTAACAGCACACCCGCACACAAATAAAATAGCACTGATTTAATGATTTAATCATTTTCCTATAACATTACATATAATTCACTAACAAAGGGGGAGCAACCCATTTCAACTATGGATAACAATACATTGAATTATGACCATGGCTTCTACTGAAAACCAAGCAATGTATCTGAGTCAGCTTTACTGTTTTGATTTAAAATTTGATTTAATTCTGAGTGTGAATGTCATTTCAGACTACAATAAATGTAAACCTTGGACTCGTTCCAGTACTAATGTGTTCTTGCGATGATAGAGGTCTGTAGAATAGCCTAACAAAAGTCCATAGCACTCAGTGATCTATGGAACACTACACATGCTAACTTTAACCTTGATTAAAGGGCTCAGTGCATGACTCACCATTATTTTTTCTCAGCTGGTCTTATCAGAACTATCAGTCTCCATTGCACACTGCCAGCTTCACCAGGGCTGACTACACCTCATATTCATACATACATAGATAAGAAGGTATTGTGTTCTTCATGAACTGTACACCGTGTGCCGAATGGATTAATCACTGAGCCACAACGCACAGGGGAACAGACTGTGGGAGCTGTCATAAACAGATGCATAAATGAAAGTTGAGCAAGCATTGCAGTCATGCAGTTGTGAAAACAGCTGGCTGTCCTCTGAGTTTATGGCTTGATTTCTGTGCTGTTTTAAAAGGGGCTTTATTGTTGGCTGGGTTGCTAAAAAAAAGACCCAAAAAAGTCAGTGACCACAGATTACGGCTCTGATAATGTCACTGTCCTCATCATCATTCAGTTTATTTTAATTTGATCTCGTTTTAAAGTTTGCAGATGATTTAAATACCAGGGAAAGGTCACATGGTGGTAATTGAGTATATGATAGCAATGTACCACTTAAGGATTGTGGACTGTTAGCTTAGAGACTCAATGGACTTAATGGACTCGGCCAGTAGATTTTGTGTTTTGACTGCTGAATAAAAAAGGTGAGCCACAGATTCAAAAAGAGTTTCTGGGTGTGGATGCAAAGAAAACCACTAAAAAGAAGCAAGTGTTGAGATAAGTTCCCAAAATTGCCTTTAAAATGTTGCTGATGCGCAGTTATTGTTCATGTGTTAAATTGTTTCTATTTGAATGCTGTACAGTGCTTTGGAAAACATCATGAACTAGAGGGTTAGTTCACTACAATCAAACAGAAAAAAAAAGTTCACTTCTCTTCCAGATGACCTACCTAATTCAGCATCCCATTATAATAATACAAACAACAAAAACACCACATAACCCCACAACATGCTGTCCTGATGCATAAAATTTGTATTGTGAATCACTCGTTGAAATGGTTTTGTCATTTAAAATGGTGTGTTTTTGACGCAGGCTTTTGGAAGGACACCCCCATGGGGGCTGCAAGATAAATCTGAGAGCTCTTGGGTAAACAGAAAGCAGAAAAATATATGTTACTGCTAGATTTAGCACAGCTTAGAATAATGTGTAGTTTTCAGATTTTTTTTCAAATCATTTATTCGGGAATTACTGGATTAATTTTACGTTTACTCATTTGGCAGATGCTTTTATCGAAAGCGACTTACATTTGAGGAACAACATATAAGCATCAACAAAGCATCAATATAGCAAGACATCTACAAGTGACAATAGATACTAGTAAGAGCTGCAGGAAATACTAGTAAGAGCTAATAGCACGTATGGCATCAATGGGTTAAATATGTAGGGAAAGAAGTAAAGGTAAAAGGTAAGGTAAAAAACAATAGTGACATTTTACATCTGAAGGTACCTAAAACAAACAAAACAGTCTGAGGAGGAACTGACCAACACCCAGTGACATTTGCAATCTGTGATAAAGGGTGGTAAGGGCTTTATTTTTAAGAAGGAACAAGACATGAAAGGACTGAGATCCACTGCTTTAACAAACACTACTTCCTGGGAGATAGATTACACCAAAATCCAAATTACTTTCTGTCAACATTTTTTATCAAAACAATTTTTTAGTAAAAAGTAGTTCCAGTGAAAACTATTCATGGTGAAGTCTCTGGATTATCTTGCATAACCAGGATATTGTTTCTGGAAAGAGATGATGCTGTTGAATTTTTTTATGTTTTTTTTTTTCTTTGCTGTGAGCACCACAACGATTTCCCACTGGAGGCAGAGCTCTCAGAGACAATATCTCAAAAGCAAAACTATCTGCATGGACAAATAACAGTGAGTAACAGTGTAATATGGGTGATCTAACACTTCAAACAAAAATGATGCAGAGTTTACTTGCTAATGTCAGTATGCTACAGAGGAAGCCAAACCAGCCCAGTAGTTATGGACACAGGGGCGACACACAACGCTGTGTATTCAGTAGCTCATGAAGCCCTTTTGAGGGACTGCAGCAACCCAGTTTGCTCACCATCCATCACTGCAGCACAACAATTTACCCAAACAGCAGAGCGGAGTCAAAAATACTGGCAAGGCACAAACAAGGAGAGAAAATGTCCCCAAACTGTAACTGTGGAGGCGGTAGGGTGAACAGATAAACAACTTTTCAAAAGCAGGATTACGGTGCTGTATAAGTCGAGACCAGGACGCGTGGGCCTTGTCTCTAAATGTGGCACAACAAATGGTGTAGGGGAGCTAAGCCGCCGTTCACGGGAGACACGCAGTAGCTGCCCAAACAGGCTTGTTAGGGGGAAGAGAGGGAACTCGTCAGTGCACAAGATCACGGCTGACAGAGAAGCTTGTTAACTGCAGCACGGTAGCCAAAAGGGTGGCTCATTAGGGAGGAGCACCAGTAGCCTGCACAGGCCATGCTGGTCTCACCAGATGGCTGCCTGTCTGCTGGTTGATGAAGGCCATAGACATCTTTAACAAATGATGTACAGTAGCCAATGTTTTTTTTGTTCAGGAAATCATATAGAAAGCATTCATTCCAGTCACAGCTTGATATTTGACTGCCCGAGTCTTATTCACTTGGGTAAAGGAGCTCAATTTTCATTTCCTCCTGAGCTATTACAAAGTTGGTCTATGACACTATGACTCCTGTTGCAACATTGCCACCTACTGGTGCCAATAACTAAAAGTCAAGATTGATGGAGGCAAGATGAAATCAAACCATGAATTTTCCCTATCACTCGCCCCTCAATGGACTCTTCACATGTTGTCAGCCGTCACTATAAATAACAAATTGTTTGCAATCACCCTGTCTGGCTGAGTACAGGGCACTTCAGCTTGATTATCGCACAAGACAAGTTTCCAGTAAGGACCAATAAATCATTATTCTTCATTCACATGCAATTGCAGCAATGTCTGAATCGTAAGTGGGAGTCATTTAGATCTTTTCAGGGTTGCTTCAACTGATAGCAGATGATTTATTTGCTACCTAATCTCACACATATCTCAAAAATTAGTGAAGAGTATTGTTGCATGGTATTACTTTGGGTGTTGACTGAATTTATGCACAGCTGACTTGATTGGAAAATGCTGGAACTTTAATTAAATTATCAGTAAATTTTTTAGTGAATAAAAGCATGGCCAGCAGCATTTAAAAAAGGATGAGATGGCCAGAATATATAATTTTTTGAGGGGGCATAAACTACTATTCTTAAAAAGTGCTTTAATCACTGCTGGCGCAACAGAGTAGCCATGAGGAGTACATTAAAATCATTAACTTTACCTTAAGGGTCATTTCACCAAGAAAGATATCTCACATATCTTAAACTGCTCATATCAACTGTGAAAGCTGCACTGTGTCATTTTAGTTTAAGGGAAAAAAAACAAAAAAACTGAGTCAGCAAGTCTGAAATTTTCCTCCAGTTTTGTCAGTTCTTGTTAATTAAATCCTACAGTAATGAAGTAGAATAAACAGAAAAGACCATTTTAGTAGAGATAACAAGTTATGTATACCTTCGGAAAAATAGCATTTTAAGCAATACATTAATTAAATGAGTGGGAAACAATCATTACCAATAGAACTATTTCAAAATACTCCCATTACAAGTAAAAAGATGTGCTTAAAATCCAACTCAAGAGAGCCACTCCATCAATTTTACACATGTTCAATTTATTGGTCATGTGGAGTAGGCTACTACACAGCCTTTCAAGACAGTTGTATGACAATTGTCATACATGGGTGTTTCTGGAAAGACCTAAGGTTTGAAGTTACAAAGTTGCATTATGGGAAGTGGATCCAGTGTTTAAGCTCGACTCATACTAAGGTATCATGGCCCCCGCTGCTTCTATTTTGACCATTCCTTTCATAATCTCTCATAAGCCCCACCTACCCCCAAATGTATGGAACTGTACTATTAAATTGCTGGAGAACCCATTTAAGTATGTAAGTATTACTAGCAGAATGTACTTTAAATATCAAAACTACTCCTTTGGCAAAAAATATAGCTTTTTCTAATGTAAGATCTTAATCTCAGTAATTGAGTATACAGTACTCCCACCCTTGGGAACCTACCCAAACTATGGAGTAAAAGAGCCCATCTAATCTTTTTAAAACATCGGTACATGCTGTGAAAAACAAAACAGCACAAGCAACAGATACATGTACAAATGGCTTCATTTAATTTATGCATTTCACAAACAATCCAAGAACTTGAGACAAATGTACAGGAATTACTTTGCCATTTTATTTTTTTCTTCACATTATTGCTTTACAGTAAAATGCATTGATTGGATATGTCCAGTATAGCAAGACAATACATTCATATAAGTTATACATATGTCCTCAGTAATGTTATAGTAACTAACTTTACATTAAATATATTTTTTGATCATTTATTATTCTTGACAAACAACTCCCACGTCACATTGAGCTCACAGTGCATCAGGTCGCATTCAATCAGGAAATACATACCAGTCTTCTCGTGATCAATTGCCATTTCTATGTGTTTTCTCTAAATGTGTGCGCTTAGTTTGTACACAGGATTTCCATTCAATCTGGATTTATGCAGAGCTACGACAAGCATGTATCTGAATACTTATTTTTTCTCCCCCTCATTCAAAAAGTGACTTGGTAACAAAGATGCGAGTCAGACAACCGGTAAGAACACATACTGTGTCAAGATGAGGACAGAAATGGGATCACCATTTCTCTCCCCCCCTGCCGTGATGTTACCACTCAAACCTGGAAACCGGGACATGACCACACAGAGCAACAACAAAAAGTACCACTGCACATTCGGAATCAACTCAAGTGCAGTACAGACGTGCCTTCCTCACAAAAAGCATCAAAAAATTCTGTCCTGTATGTACAGAAGACCCACTAAAAAGGTTGAAGGGGTTGTGTACAAGGATGTCAGTGGGTGTATGGAGGAGTCTGTAGGCCCTGTGTGGTCACCTCCATCCAGTTAAAGCAGCCAATCGAACCGTGATAGAGTAGCAGCTTAAGGGGGTCCAATTTTTTTTTTTTTTTTAGTTCCTTAAAGTCTGCCCTCATCCAGTTCCTTTGAAAATGTCCCGAGGGCGGTGGAGTAAAGCCATCCATTCATCTATGCATTTCCTGCTGCCCCTCTGCTCCTTCAGCTGGGGTTGGTGGAGAGGTAATGCCCATGTGCAAGAGTAGACAACAGTGGAGAAAGAGGGAAAAGGAGGAGAGAGTGGAGGAGGAGAAATCAGACTTCCCTCAAAAGTCACAGTTCCAGAAACATCCATCCTTTGGGCTGCGTTCCTGTCACAAACGCACAACTGTGAGCTCACACATCAAGCACTAGTAGACAAACCAACGTCACATCTCCATGGGATCCCCCGTCTTTATATGGCAACCTTGCAGGGGCCTTCTGTCACATAGAATTCTTTAAACTGAGATTGCATATACAAGTGCCTGCTGCCAACAGTGCGGCAGAGGAATATTTTAAACACTTAAACACTCCCCACACACATTTCCGTTTTTAGTCTCTGCACCTCACTTGTGGACTCCTCCATAGGCATTTTTGCATGATGTCAAATGTCTGGATTGCAGTGTAGCTCGTAGCTGCCGATTTTTGTAAAGTGGGTCGGGCAGTTTCCATGGAGACGCCCATAAGCCCTCAGCCTTTTGCTGTGCTGGAGCTGCGTTTAGTGTCCCAGCATGCACTGCAGACAGAGGTGGGTGTGCTCATGGTGTTAGAGGTTCCAGTCTGTTCCAGAGTCTAGAGCCCGGTGTGAGAAACGTAGAGTGCGCCCATAAGGAGCGCACACACACACTGTTCTGTCACTCACACACATTCAGTCACATATAAACTGAAAAGACTCACGCACAGGAGGAAGCACTAGTTGATTCAGAATGAGAGGACAGCTGTTAAAGTGCAATATCTACACCAAATCAAGAAACCATCACTATTGCCACCTCCTGGAGTTGTCCGTCTTCTAGTTTCCCTGATAACCGATGGCTGTGGTTTGCACCCCTGCCCTGGGTAGAGGGGCTGCAGTACCCCCTACTGGTCAGAGGGTGTTATAGCAGACAGTGTTGAGAACAGTCTGGTTTCTTTGCATTTCCTAAACAACTACCTCCATTCTGCTGCTGTTTTAAGATGAGAACAGGTCACCAGATGATGGCAAAAAAACAAAAAAAAACAAACAACTTCCCACAGATCTGGAGCCACTTTTGGTTTCCAAAGTTGTGCAGAGGGAAAACGTGGGCAGACCCATCACTGAATGAAAATAACGCTGATGGGGAGTCGCCACCATCAGCTAGATCCCCCCTCTAAGTGGTCAAATCTCCTCACAGCACAAAGCAGGAAAAGCATTTCCATGTGCAATTTGTTTCAGTGAAAAACAGGCAATGTCCTATATTTGCAACAAGCTCTCCTCTGTATTTCTCTTCCGTTTTATATTTAAAACCTTGTTTTGAAAAAATAAATACAAAAAAAAGTGTTTACAAGTTTACATTGTGCCGTGCTGCATATGCATAACACCCTCACAGTCATCTGATCTGACTGTGACACATCTTGACAAAGTGTCCTGACAAAATGTCTTCTTTTTTTAAGAAAACAAAGCAGATTTGATCAAGCAGTTGAGGGTTGAGAAGAACTGCGGAGGATGAGTGAAGAGAAGCGCTAACAGTATCTGCTCCCTGATGCCAAAGGCCATGCCAGGGGATTTGGGTCCATGCTGGAGGAGGGGAGCTGCCAAGGACAAAGCCCTCCTCCAGGGGGTAGAGAGGGAAAAAGGAGTGTACTATTCTCTTTGGGTGCTGGGGTAACTATAGTTCTTTTGGGAATCACTTCAAGGAGAGTTCTCTCTACGTGGAGGGTTTTGGTTGGAGTCATTGATTTTTTTTTTTGCTCTTCAGACTCTGGTTTGGTTTGTGAAAAGGCTTTGTAAATGGTGTGTGGAAATCTACAATGTGGAAACAGACACCAAGAAACAGGGGCACTTATGATTCTGGAGGTCCCCGACATCTAAAAAGGCATGCTAGATGGGTAGAAAGTTAACAGGCGCTAAGAGAAAATAAGGATTTTACTGCAATAACAGGCAATGCCCGAAATAATGGGCATTAAGGACTGGCACTGTGTGACAAGAGGACAAATTAGACACATAGAATAGAGTTCACTATTACAGCATGTACTGCCTCTTGAGGAAATGAGATTCATGATTTGGGACTAAAGAATTACAGAGAAAGCGCAAGGGAGGAGGAAAAAGGAAATCTGCAGATAGGCCCAGTGTTATTGAAAAGATTTTTGGGTTGGTAGGAATCGTTGAGGTTCTGATATCCGAGGCATGCTGCTGTGCTCTAGTCTTCCATGCACATGGGCAGGTTGACAAAGGTGAAGACGTTGTACTCGATCATGACGGAGAAGCAGAGGAAGATAGCGTACAAGATCAGGGCGTACAAGCCCAGCTTCACGTCCAGCTTCCATTTATTCAAGTGGATTCCCAGCACCTGCACATATACAAATACAGAGTAACACTGAAAGGACTGAATATTGTATATCTTAACAGTACAGCCATTACACATTACATGCAAATCTCATCCTAAAACTGTAACCCACAAGAGGCATTTTGCCTCCTCCTTTGATCACTGATTACACTACAGAAGTGTGTCCATCATTCCTAGTATCTGTAGCTAGCACAAGACTGATCTGAGTGTGTTTGAGACAGCGAGGTCGGAAAACAGACACATGTAGTGTTTGTTTCAAAAGGGTCCGACTGCCGCATCTCAGACTTCCTTCCTCTGACCTCTGACCTCCTATAGCAGAACAAAATGACCACAGACATTAACTTACAAGATATTTAACAGTATATTATTATCAGTGGTGGACAGTAACTAAGTACATTTACTTAAGTACTGTACTTAACTACAAATCAGAGGTATTGGTACTAGAGTGTTTTCTTTTCATGCCACTTACTACCTGCTACTTCTAATCCACTACATCAGAGAGGGAAATATTGTACTTTTTACTTCACTACATTTCTCATCATAAAGCTTCAGTTACTAGTTACATTCTAAAGTAAGATGTTAAGATAAGATGTTAAGATGTTGTAAACTACTCCCATTTATAAGTACAGCTAGTATATTGATTGACAGAAACTTAATTGCCAACTATTTTGATGATCGTTTAAGTATTGTACAAACATTTCATGGGTCCATGGAAGTTTAAACTGACAAAACAAGCATTGCAAAGGCATCAGTTTGGGCTCTGGGCAATTGTGATAACATTGCTCACTATTTTCAGAATTTTCACAATCAATTAATGGGAGGAAATTATCAGCAGATGAATCCATAATGAAAATAATTAATTGCAGTTTGATACAATAGTTCAACCTCAACCAACTACAACAGTAAAATGCATAATTTACATTAATGCATGAGTAATAATATTCTAATGTTGTAATAGAAAAGATCACAGGACATTTTTCTTTCTGCTTTGAGTACTTCTAATACCTCAAGTAAATTTTTATGATTATACTTTTAATTAGCATTCAATGCAGTACTTTTACTTGTAAAAGTATTTTTACAGTGAGGTAACTGTACTTTTACTAAGGATCTGAATACTTCATCCACCACTGATTAGAAATTGTATGGCATTTAAGTTATGTAGTTAGTTCCTGTTTACACGTCATAAGTTTATTAGAACAGCATTTGTTGGAAAGCCAGGCAACTAATGTGCCACCACAGGCTGTATGCAGTAAACTGCAAACTAACTTGCTAACCTCTATGGGAAATTACAGTAGTCAGCTAATATGCCAGAAAAGCAGTGGCAACCAGTAGTGCAGTAGTGCCCTTGCCATACTGAAGTCGAAACATACGTTTAAATTAGGCCTTGTACATCTAATATGGGTGAAGGTTTAGCAGCTTGATTGCCAATTCCTCCCCTCAAATTTGTTCGTAAACAGATTTTGGCAGACTGCTAAGGTGAAATAAATGAAAGTTTACATAGCACGTTATCTTTCTGGAAGTGGTAAACATGTGTAGTGTAAACATAAACTGTTGCCCACCGTGAGGGCTACCGAGCCCAGCAGAAGCACCACTGAGTACACCAGGCCCCGACTGTTAATCATCACCTGCAACACACAAGACAGAGAGAACAATTTATCTGCATTGGTCAATACCAGAGATAAGGAGGAGGATTTAAGTTGTTTCTTACACACAAAAATACAGAAATGATAAGATCTGAGTTTATTTGTAAAGAAAAACTAGCTCCTTACCTCCGATCCATAGCTGACACACATAGTCTGGATCGCCCAGGGAACACCAAGTCCCACTAGAATATCAAACACATTACTGCCAATAGTGTTGGACACAGCCATGTCTCCCAAACCTGCAATAAAACAAAATGAAGTTATTAAAAAAGAAACTATAACTTTAAACAAGGGATAGAGTTTTTCCATATAGACCATCGTGTCAAATAAACCACTTTATTTCTGACTAAAGATGAATATTTTGCTGTTCTGTAGTTTCTAATCTTATATAGCTCAGAAGGCAGTGACGCAGGGCTACACTGTAATGTCAACAAACAGCTCTGCACTATTTTATCTTGTTGTATTCTGTACTTGCTAAACTCTTTTCTATGCAGTTAGGAGACAAACATCTGCACACTAGTCTGTTAGTGTGTTAGTAAGTGCACCCATTTGTAGATCTGGATGTCAGTAAGATTTGATCAATTATAGCTAAAGGTATACCACAAATGCATCTATATTTGATGTGTCTCTTTATTCCAATGACTCACCCAACTAACCAATAGGGATTGTCAAAGTTTGATATAATCGAATTATAAAAAAAAAAATTAAAAAAAGGATGTTTCTTTGTACTAGTGGTATCAAATGTGTACCACATAGCTGCAACATCCACGTGTATATAATAAATCCACAAAACTGCTCAATCCAAAAATGTTTCAGAGGGAAATGTGTACCTTGCCGAGCCACAATGAGACTGGCTATGCAGTCTGGGACACTGGTGCCTGCTGCCAGAAAAGTGATGCCCATGATGACATCAGGGATTCCCAGAGTGTACCCAATTATAGTTACCTGAGAGAAATGTACAGTGTCAGAGCTCAAATAAAATTATTTTGTCAGTGATAATCATGATGATTTTCCAGGCTAAACCAGAAACGCTTCAGGGGGAGTTGGAATTTTGGTTATTGATCATTTTACAATAAACGTGATGGATAAAACCCATGGATGGTGTAATAGGAGCACGCTTGGAACACCAGTTACAGTATAGTCTAGTTATTTTTTTCCCCCAGCTATTTATGTCCAGAGGGATCTACAAGAGTAGGGTTGAAGACTATTGATAAATTATATGGCTTATTGATGACATTTCCTCTCGACTGGTAATAGACCAAGCATAAACAGTCATGAGGAAATGAATCGCTCCTTGAATTTCTCAGGGATAAGTGCTGCGTCTTAAATGGCAGATTAAATACAGTTATACATCTATAACGTCAAGAGGAAAAGCGCTTGTGGATTATTTAATAAACCCCCATGGTTGTCTGGACACTTTCATGGACTTGGTGATCACCTCACCTTAGCTTTTACACCACTGCTTGTATTGACCTTATCAGATCAAGATGCAGGTTACAGGATCATTCCGTTAATGCTGACATTTAAAGTTAATGTTACAATGATGGATTCTTCTGAAGTAATACTGTGGTCATTCCAACTAAAAGACAACCTGTAATATTCCTAGACAGCTCCCTTTTTTGATGCGTTTTCTTGCTCTTTTGGAACTTTAGTAAACTAAAATGCTGTATACATTTTTATGTACATTTATGTAAAGAGATGAATACATGCCAACCCACAAAAACTGAGAAATTGCAATAATTTGTCTTCTAATGTAAGCTTTTATTGAGGTTTGAATAGTATCTTGCCAAAAATAAAGTCCATACCAAACAAAAGATAGGCCGCACAGTTGCACAGCTGAGAGCTAGTAATTCAAATATATTCAGGAGGGAAACAGTGTGTGAGCTATGTCATTTGGGCAAGGTGGAAAGTGAGCCCCATTTTCTTTTGTTATGTACAATGATGATGATTTAGGAGAGTTAATATCATGAAACAGTTTGACAAAACCCTGAAATATACTGATGAAAATTGGATGGGCTGTTTCATTTTGAAGCGCTTCAAAAGCCTGAAAAAGAATGCAAGATGGATATTTAATTAGTATTCATCGATTTCTCCGCTACTATACTATATACGTTTTTGTCAATGTCAATGATGAATTTTGTTGTAGACAATGACTGTCTGAAGATTGCGAAGAATCTGTTCCTCAAATGCCCTTTGAGCATTATCTGTACATTCTCTTTATTATATCCCTTTTATGATTTAGTTATTCTGCAATCACTTTACTGCTAACCAGGTTAACCACTGTGTTAGCTGTCTGAGGCTGTGTTGCTAATGCAGCTTATGTATATTACCCTTTACTTTTACTCTTGTGAACCATTTGTTTACTAGATTAATTACTGTTACGTACAACCTATACAGGACTTAAATACTTGTTTTACTGGTGATAGTTTGGTGGCATGAGGGACAACAATGTGACAAATTTGATAGCAAGTCTATATTTTTGTAAATACAGCTTCCATGTTACTGTACCAGTTATTTTACAGTAATTTTTTCAATGTCTAATCACTAGCATTAAATTTATTGTTTTCACAGTTTCACAACTGCTTCAGGTGAAAACTTCAGTAAAGGATGCATACAGGAGTTGGCCTTATTGAAGTTTGTATTTACATTGCAGCAGGGATGTGCACCTACAGTACATGCATAGTGTGGGCAAAAGACACTTAGTGACTTAAGATCCAGTGCCAGAAAATAATGCCCCCACAATTATCTAGAGAGCTTGATGAAGAAAAATTGCTTGTTTTGTGTAACAAACACTTCAAAACTCAAAGATATTCAATTTACAGTTATATAAAAAGCCAAACCACAAATCTTCATTTTTGATAAGCTGGAAACAGACTGATTAATAATTCAAGTAATTTTTCAAGCACAAATGCCAATTATATACATAATTAATTTTATGTTGACTAGACTCAACTAAAAACTTAAAGTTGTCCTGGTAAATGACTCAGAGTTTTTGCACTCCACGTAAACTCTGCACTCACCATCCAAACCATGAAGTAGGAGAAGACAGCAATCCAGACAGTGGACAGGATGAAGGAGAGCATGAAGAATTTCTCCCAGCGAGGCTTGGCACAGTTCGGGATGGTTAAGTACAGCAACAGGAGCAGAGGCCACGAAAGCAGCCACTTCACCTTGCTCCCCCAATTCCCTGCAGCAGAAATACACATTAGTGCAGGAGAATGTTGACCAGAGGTGGCCAACAGACATTGATCAAGACACATTTACAGTTTGCTTATTTTAAGTAAAGTGGAAAAATTGTTGAAGTACTAAATGCAGTTTTCTTAAAATGTGCCACAGGTTTTATTGAATTACTGTCAACAAATGTGATCCAAGATGACCTGTAGCCTCTTTCTCATGTCAGCAGCGCTATGCAGACCACATTTCCCACAAGTCTTTACGTAAAAAAGAAAGTATAATAAAACATGGTTTCCCCTCACCAATGATGTGAATCAATTCTTTCCAGCAACTGGATCACTAATGCCACTCTCAGGCAGACATGTTCTCTGTCTATTAAAAGTGCCAACAACATGTGCACTTCCCGTACATTTTATTTATTTTATATTGAGCCACTGACTTATTTGAGCGAGGACATCAATAACTGAAAGCTATGTGTTGCTTATTTCAAGTCCTTAAGTAATACAGGAGAATGTAGCCAACAATTGATTTATAAATATCTGAAATGTCAAAGACGTGTCACTTTTACTCCTTAAAAAGTATCCATCAATGTATGCCAAATTACACGTTCACCAAGTAAATGCACAAATCACAAACTTGGAAGACGAAACGGTGAGATGGTGTCGTTTTCCTCCGCCTCGGTGGGTTTGTCCTCTGGCACATTTCCATTCTCGATCTCAACCTTCCCGTCGATCACTTGCGTCTCCACTCCATTCGCAGCTTGGACCAACTTCTGGCGCTTTCAGAAAAAAGAAACTAAGTCAAAGAGCAGAGGGGCAGACACGCTGCTACGTTGACTGCTGCACTACCGCCAAGTGTTCTATATATTGTTTCTGCAGTCATGAATGAAAAACACAAATGCATGTATACTGTGTGAGTGAGATATGGAACTTCTTGGAGTTTAGTTATTGTCAGCTTTGTACTTGACATTAGTTTCAGACACTCCACTGAAAATAGTATACACTCAAAGGAAACTCTTAACAGAGCAGCAGCAGCTAAATCCTGTCATTGGAGCAACAACGCCCAGCTGTACCTCTGTAATGATGAGGCGACTGGCCATGCGCAGACGGGTCTTGGGTCCAAAATGGCTGGTGACCATGACACGGAGGCCAGCTTCTGGAAACCTGAACTTTGAAGGGCTGGCGTTAATGATCTCGTCCACCATCACCACCGACCCACGGCTATAAGTCTTGTTGGGTTTGACTGAGGGGTGGAGGGATATCAAATAAATATGGAAAATAAAAATAATTTAAACACATCAACGTACCAGATCAGATAGAACAGTCGCATTTATTTCTATATATTTTATTTGTTTCATTCGAGGTCATGTACTGATCCTGTCCTGACAGCGAGAAAGTTAACTTTTTACATAAATTGCTAATTAATAAACTTAAGACTACACTAAACAGGGTTGATTTTTAAGACGGGCATAGTCATTGAGTTATGCTCTGTTCTATAAACGTCACTTTTTAGTCTATAGCGCTACATTGTCTCAGGCCAAGTTACTAAGGAATATTAATGGACGCTAAACCAGAGCCATTTTGTCACCATGTCAGAGTTAAAGCTGCACCAGGCAAGAATTTATGTCAACATACACCACACCCATTACCCTAAATCACAGCGTGGGCTCAGTGTGGACCGTTCAATGCCTACACAAATCAAAACTTCAGAGCAAAAACTGGCCCTAAACACAAACGTGAATTTTTCGTCTAGACAAGTACAGGCTCTGAAAATCATTCTTCCCTTCACTCCACTCCTTCATATTCTCCTATGTGACCTGGAAATTGATGTTTGTGACGAGGAAACTCACTCAACAAACTAGTGTGTTCAATCAAATTTGCTGCACATGGGCCAACTGAGTTGTCACTGTTCTATAAAAACAATGCATCTCCAAAAACATCAACTTTTCATGAGTGAGTTTGTTGTGACAATGCACTTTTCAGACAATCTAAGGTGTTTTTAAGATGTAAATGTCTCAATCCATAAATCAAAAAATTAGAGATACATGGTTTTTACAGGACAGTGGCTATGTGAAAAAGACTCACCTGTGAACACATGTTAAGACTACACACACACACACACACACACACACACACACTATACCGTGCTTGGCTAGAAGTGTTCTTTTGTGCTTGAGTGAAATTCAGTTATGGTGGGACCACTAAAATAAAAAATCTTATGGTTTTGATTAAGTAGCAGATTAACCGTCTCAAATGATTTCTTATATTACTCCATTTTCATGGCATGAGGAAAAGATGAGGGTTAAACCTTCAGGGAATCACCCCTGGACTCCCTTTGGTATAAAACATCACACACCAGCTGGGTTTACAAGAGTGTGTTGTGTGCCGTTACTGACATCACATGATTTCTGGGCACTGAACTTCAAATATCTCTCCCAAATTGCCTGGCGCAGCTTTGAAGTTTGCCTACCGGTAGTGAATATTTATGGGTCCACCAAGATTGATTTCAAAATCTGCGACATGACAGACATAACCTCTGGCGTCCGACAATCTCAAACTGCTGTGCAGGTGGGCTGACATATTAAACACTTTAGACAATTTGTACTCTGATAATACATATTTTTAAATGTTTTATTGGCATCCAGAACACGTCATTTGCTCTATGCTCAGCTATAAGATGCAGTGTTTGGGGAATAAAAAAGTTCTACAGTACACTTATTAGTTTAGCTCAGCCTTAATTTGACTTATTATGCATGCAAGAATGCACATAAATTAACTGTATAAACAGAGCCGGCATAAACATTTCCTCTTGTGAAATTCATTACCACTTCAGGAGTGAGTGGGTCTCCGCCCCAGAGACCAGCAGAGGGAAAGTAGTATGCAAGCAGAAAGAATTGGCACACAGCAGCACAACACTGTTGACAATAAGCAAGAGTAAGTTTAGTAAGGCTAAACAGACAGGCGGAATGTGGACACTAATGCAGCCAAAGTGGGAAGGGTTAAATCTCTGAGGGGTTAAATGTTACTGATTAGACACTTCTGAAAGGTCAAAGGCAGGAAAGGAAGAAGTGGAGGACTGTGGCTATGATGAACTATCAGCCAAACATTACATTAAAGATATTATTTAGAAATGGATTCCCCCCCGATGTTTTTAAAAAGTTTGGAACCCAAGACAACAAAGTCCCCTGACATTAAATTGCATTACCGAAGGAAGATTCAAGAATATATTCATTATGCTGTTCCCATTTTGAATAAGAACATTTGATTTTGTGCCCCCCCCCCCCACCGTCTGCTCAGATAAATCACCCAGAAAAGGACTTTGCGGGCAGGGAAAATGAATGGAGGAACATTTATAACTTTTAAAATTACAAGCAAAAGAGAAGTCGAGACAGTCTCTTCAGGTAGTGCAATTCACTGAGGTCAAAGGACTGAAGTTTTCTTGGTCTGCATAATCATATTTGAAGGAATAGTTTAACATTTTTGGTTAATGTGTTCATTTTCTTTCTTGCTGAGAATTTAGAAGAGCCATACCACACTCATGTCCGTACGGTAAATATAAAACGCTACATACAGCAACCGGTAAGCATAGCTTCGAGACAGGAAACGGGGAGAAACAGCCACCCCCGCTCTCTACAAAAGAAAACAAATTTGTCTACCAGTTCACTAATTAATTCACTGGTTAATTCATACAAAAATTGAAGTTTAAAAACAGCAACTTGTTAAAATTGAAAAAAGCCAGGCTAGAAGGAGGCAACAGCTAAATTAGGCTAACCGGCTACTGACCGTAGCCTACATAGTGTGTGGTATCTACCTTCATCTGTGAGCAAGGAAGAAAGTTAACATATCTATAAAGATACATTTCAGCAGAATACAGTAGCAGCTGAAGCTATTCAAGTTAGTTCAGCAGAAATGAGCAAAAGTTAAAAGCCACAGTCTGTCTAAAAGAAGGAAACCACCACGGTCTTCCAGAGAATCAAATTGTCAAATACATTTCCACTTCATAGCCCAGGAGCCCCAATCTTATTCTATCATACACCATCTGATTAATTTCCTGGCAGAGAGTAGTCTTGGGTACCCAGCCTGTCTGATTAACCTTACCTGATGAGAGTAAAGGCGATGATGGGTCATCATCCCAAACATAGAGATAACTAGTATTACCGTCCTCCATCTCACTGCTGGCTGCAGCGTTACCATTGGCCACATTCTTCTTTGATCCCTTCCCCATGAAAAATCTCTGCATGCTGGTGTTGAATCTAGTAAATGGATGTAACATAATCATTAAATTAGAGAATAGTGGTCAACTGATAGTTGTGGCTATGTGATGTGTAATTTTGAGTTGGCAACAAATTTACACTGTTACACAAGCTGTACACTCACAATTTTACATTGTAGAACAGTGTCATTTATCAGTGTTGTCACATGATCAAATATTTACAAATATGCGAGGGTTGTACTTACTTTTGAGAGATACTGTACATGGTTATCTTAGCCAGTAATGTGTCATTTTAGATGGATTTTTATTCATGAAAAAATACATTGTTATGCTGTAGATTTCAGAACATAACTGGTGTTTAAGGGAGAGTGGGGTACAGTTTGTCAGAAGAGACATTCAACTGCATTATTCTCTACACTATAATAGTATATATTTAACACTAGCCAGTAATGGTTTTAGATTAGATTTGCTGTCATTTAGGATGGGAGAACGTGTTAACATTTAGAAGAAACAATGGGGCTCTAAAGTGACTTCCCCCCACCATCTTCCCAAAACTCACAAGGGCAGCACTAAAATTGTTACCACAGCAGCGACACTGACAAGACTGCCTGCATGTGTGCCTGAAGACATTTGTTTAACGGCCTTGTGAATGCAGGCATCGGCTGATGCCGATTAGGCTATGTCAAAATGCCAGATATCGGCTCACAAAAGATACTAAAATAAAATCAACCCTTTCTAGAATGAATTCACAGTTAATATGCCTTACTTTCTGAAAACTAGCATCAACTTACACAATACAAAAAATATGGCCAAAAATATCCTGTTCTAAATTAAAATAGAAAAGGAAAGAAAAAGTCAAAGAAATGTCCCCAGAAGCCAATCATGACTTAAGTCCGACAACAAATGCTCATGATTTGAGATTCAAAAACATTACTGGGGATAATAAGTTATTTTTATTTACGTTCCAAATCGGCAACAGCATGTGTGCTATTTCAGGAGGAGGAAAAAAACTCCCAGCCGAGCCCTAGAAGGGCACCTCAGAGCACCGATAGTGCTATATAAAACCCACTCTACTCAATTTTGAACAGCCCAAAATGTCAGTGGATATTTTGGGAGAGGGGAAACATGACAGCATATCCTACAGTAAGCACTTCTTTCCTCCAAATGAGAAAGGAGAGGAGTGATCCGGTTAAGCCTGTGCTCTTAGCCACTGCAGAGGGACAAAGATTAAACTCTTATGGCAGGGAGAGAGCAAGCTGCTGCTGAGTGTAACACAGATTACCCAGCTGGACAGAGACAGCGGCGCAGGACGTAGTGGTTGGCATTATGCACTTTGGACTATAAAGACAGAAAAATGGCGTAATACAGTAGATGGAGTCTGAATTTTAAGCAAACAACTTCCTCATACAAGCTGAAATTCAACAGATTCAGTAAAAGAGACGAGATTCCTGGGCCAGATTGTAACCCAAAGGTGTTACAATACATACCCCAGACAACTGAGCACTAAAAGACACCCTACTGAACCTTTCCTAATAATCTCAAAAGAAAGGCTAAAATATAATAGATTCAAGTATGTTTCATTTGACAACAGTTCTATTAAGATATACATTGAAATAAGGATTTTTATCTCATCTGTTGAAATTAAATCACTTAATGCCAGAAATGGTCAACTGGACGATTCTACATGTAGCATTTAAAAAATATATAATAATCTACGTATCAATTATTTTAAATTAATTTCAATTTTAATATCTTGTATGATTGTCAAAGATCCACAACTGAGAAGTTTGTCCTAACAGTGTGAAACTGCATCATAATTGTACATAATTCATAAGGGGAGTGATCTTTCCACTAGAAGCCTCCTGAGCTGAATCTGCAGCCAACATCTGGGTAGTCGACATGATTGAGACACCCTTCCCCTCCAACTGGAAACCCACTCATCTCTCATCTGAAACTACTGAGTGCACAGTTGGTCATACTCAGCCCACAGGTATTAATTAGTGTGCAGGAGTTAAGCATTCCCCCCAAATGTGCAGAACTTACTTCATGACAAGGATGTATCCAGCATACATGACCACCAGCACTAAACTCTCCCACCTGAAAGAGGAAAAATACAAGATGAGAGATGAAATGAAGATAAATTCAGGTTATCACATACCATAATACATAGAATATCCAGAAACATTTAGCTTATGAACATTTCCAGGTCTTATCTTCCTGCTGAAACCACTATTGGGTAGTCAGGAGACTGAAATCAGTTAAGTTAGATAAGAAACAATTTCAGGATAATAATTTGTAGCGCAACAGTAGCACAAGTGGTGTAGAGTAGTAAAACCAGCAACTTAAACAGTAATGATAGTTACAGCAATCTCTAATAAAGAAAGGAATCTCAGTGTGTGTCTGTATTTTTATAGGAACCGTTCATCCAATCGACTTCAAACGTGGCTGGTTTGTTGCTGCCGATACAAGGGAATGCAGTGTCGCAGTAAAGCATGTGCTCGAGTATGTGCGTCCCGGCAATTTGTCCACATCCAGCAAACTATGGACGCTTATCCAAAGAAGGTTACGAAGAAGTCAAGGGCAACTGGACTTGGTTGAAGATTCTACAAGACGTTTCGTTCCTCATCCAAAGGACTTCTTCAGTTCTCAACATCCAAAGGACTTCAGTTCAACTGAAGAAGTCCTTTGGATGAGGAACGAAACGTCTTGTAGAATCTTCAACCAAGTCCAGTTGCCCTTGACTTCTTCGTAACCTTCGTTGGATAACTATGACCTGGATGACTGAGAATCTTCACAGACAACTATGGATGCTTATTATTTTCATTTCCCCAGCATCTTCAGGCAAAAGAAATTCCTGCACTTCTCATTCAGGGGAATCCAATCTCATGTAACCTAATGGCGTGTTAAGCAAATCACATACTGTTTTGAATGTCTTTCAGAACTTTTCAGATTAAAAGCTCTCAATTCAACTCAAAATAAAGCATTGCTGCAAAAAAACTCTTGCGCTTTTATTTTGAAGGCACAATCACTTAAAGAGGTGGTATACTTTTTGGCTTTTCCCCTCTCCTTTGAGTTATTTCTCTTTTTTGTGCATGTAACAGGTTTGCAAAGTGAAAAAGCCCAAAGTTCAGCCCAAAGGGAGTTCCCATCTCCCACAGAAAGCTCTGCTCTGACCTGCTTGAAAAACGTTACAAACTCGTTTGTAGTCCTTCACTTCCTTTACTTGTGACATCACAATGAAAACACGTCATAAAGCTTGCCAAGCAGCTAGTGGGTCAGGCACGCCCTCAAACCAAGCTAGTCTCCGCGGAGGCCCTTTGGCTCGACTCGCCTTTGTTTGGTTTTCCACTGTAGAAATGTTGCACCTGTACCTGCTTCCAGGTACTTTTTTTTTGGATCACCTCACCTCGGTTGAGGTTCCAAGTGAGCTGAGGGATACTAAAATGTAACGTGAAAACACGACAGACTGTTGAGACTGCTGATTGGTCAGAGAATCTACACTATTCACTGCATCATCATCGCTATGACAAGCTAACGTTACGTACCATCTCTGGGTACTATCTACAATGGAAAACAGAGCAGGGCCGAGTAGAGTCGAGTCTGTCGATTTGCGCTATGGTAGCATTTTTCGGCAAGGCAGCATAGATCGTCAGAACACCGGCAACAGTTCAACGTTCAGTCCTGAAGGTAAGATGTGGAACAATGATGTTGTGTGGTTGTGGACTGGTAATAACTTATACCATCTGCTTACAGTCGCAGTCTGAAGCGACTTTGATTTGGATCACACTACCTTGTTTCTTACGATCAGCCCTTCTCTGCTTCTGATTGGCTAGTAGTCCTTACCTGGGATCTGCGAATGTGTAACTCCAAACAAAGATTTTGTACAAGTAGGATGCATCACTCTGTAGCTCAAGAGCGGAGCGTACAACACATAGGGCGAAAAGAGGAGCTGCAGCAATGTGCAGTATGAGGAAAATATGGTGTTTTTTGAAAATTAAACCATGTAAACCTGTTCAGGTACAACCCCTGATTAAGCATAATACCACCTCTTTAAGGGAAAGCGATTATGCGAGTGGCTGTTGCTGTCATGACAGATCTATTTCAGCCACCAGCTGCTATCAAAGTATTTATTTGGTTCACGGGCAACTGCTGTAGGTGAAACCTAAAGCGCGGGGAAGTGTCACGTCGGCCACTGTGAATGGGCACTGCACTAGTTTATCTAAAGTTTGCTAAAGTTAGCCACAATAAGCTAATAGTCATACTAAATCAAATAAGGCTGTAAAAGCAAAAGCATTGAGCATTTGTTCAATTGAGCAGTCGTGAGTTTTACTGCTTATAAATTTAGCTTTTCAATCAAATCGGACACAAAAATATAGTCTCACTTCAAAAAATGGACACATTTACAGCTTTAACTGGATGAGTAAGTTAACTTACCAAACAATTTTCTCATCGTAGATGAACTGAAAAATGAAGGGAATACAGTTCTTAGATTAGAATAAACACAATTCAAAGAAGAAAGTCACAGCTGGTGTTCATTAATAAAATGCTTGCGGTGAACTTGTCCAACTTACTGCAATCAAAGCCAAAACAGACAGGGTGTAGTAGAAGGAATCCCTGAAAACTGCCCACCAGGTCAAAATCACCACCTAAGATTTCACAGGGAAAAGTCATCTTTTTTGCATTTATGTGTAGTTCTATGAAAAACTTTTGGTATCAGACGTACTTAATATGCACATTTTACTTAACAGAAAGAGCTTAGAGAAGAAACAGATTTATGATCCATTTATGCCTACAGAGTTTCCCCATTTCCACTAAAACCAGTTCTGAGAACTCTTAACTGAAGCAGATGGTTTTGTTTCCCCCCAGCAAAAAACTTCTGCCACACATGTGCTGCTCTGCAGTCTATAAATAAACAGAATGATGCCGCTGCAGCAGGAAATCACTTCCTCCAACTCACACACAAAACATAAACACACACACACACACACACACACACACACACACACCTGCCCAGCAAAGATCCCGCAGACACCAATGATACAAAGGATGTTGAAGACAGCTGAGCCAACGATGGTCCCAACCCCCACATCACCGTGGGTGATGAAGACACCTGCACACAGGGAGGCATCCATTCATAACCAGCAATGACACCAACCATCTGGGAACGTCTAAGTGTATGCACAGTGTGTGTGTGTGTGTGTGTTTTTGACACTGTCACATTGCGGGAAAATGCAAGTCCTCAATGAAAAACATTAAATTTAGGGTGAAGATTTGACTTAAGGTTAGGGTATGGTTAGGTTTAAACGAATGTGGTCTACAGCCTGAGGGTGTAGGTGCACTGGCACAGGTAAAATTAAAACAAAAACAGATAAAAACACTCCTCTGGGTTAAGTTTAGGTAAGTAATTGTTAGGGTAAGTCTCCAGGAACTGAATGTAAGTCAATATAATAGTCTCTGAAGTGATGGAAACGTGTATGTCACGGTGAGGACTTTAACATGAATGCACAATAACTCATGGGGACTTGTGTCACTGTAGGGACAGAAAAAGAGGCTGCTTTTTGAGGGTTAAGACTTGCTTTTGGGTGTGTGTGTGTGTGTGTGTGTGTGTGTACCAATGATAGATGCAAACAGCTCTGGTGCAGAACTGCCAGCTGCCATGAAGGTGGCTCCTGCAACATCTTCACTTAGATCAAGTTTCTGTAGAAATACAAAAAGAAATGGCTGGTTTACACAGACCAACCAGCATTGTGTGACTGCAATACTGAAAGATGAAGGTGTACAACTCCCAAGTACCTCACAGATCTTCTCCAGCGATGTCACAAAATATTCGTCACATGTTATGGCGAGAGCCAGAAACATGTAGAGTGCCTAGAGACAGAACCAGCAGAGTTAAATTTGTGTGTGAGTGTAAGAGTAAGTGTTTGTGTCAGACATGGGCAAGAGAGTGAGAGTACAAGAGTGTGTGTATCCCTGTATAGATACATGTTTAATCAGAAATTAGCAGAGTTAATAGAGCCTTGGCAGAGCAAGACAGTCTCCTGCTAAAGGAAGGGTGAAGGGGAATCTCAAAGCACAGCACCCAATTTAAATACAAATATCAATTCAGTGACAAGTCATTTTTCCTTACAATTTTGAAAAAAATAAAATAAAATGTGCATACTCCCACCACTGTGAGAGAGGAGGGTGGATATGGGAGGCAACCTATTTCAGTAGCTGAGGAGATCTATAAATTATAGATCAGGTGTGACATCATCATGATCATGGCCTGGCAGTCCCAGCAGCTGTGCTCTGCTCTATGCTATCCACAGGGGGCAGTGCAGGACTGCAGTATGATCAGACACCTCCCCCATTTAATTTTTATCCTTTTCTCAGCAGTGAAGACAGGACACTATAAAGTCATATTTCAGTGTAGAACAAAGCTGGGGAGAGTAGTATACTGGATTGCAGCTCAAATCTCAATTTTGGTCCTATTTGAAAGAATACGCATCAAATCCTGGTCATGAAGATTTCTGGGTGTCACTAAGAAGAACTGTCTGACCTTACAGGTGAAATAAATGTTGGGTAAAGCACAAAACCAAATAGTGATCATAAGGTTGTTCAGTGTTGGTGTTGCAGTTAATGGTGGCTTATTTCAACTTTCATTAGGGTTTCGGAATAAAAAAAAAAATACAGCACGGTATGACGTCCTGATGTCAATGCAGGAAGTATCCTAGACAGGTATCTCTGCTGTAAGAAGTGTTTAACCATGCCGTGAGGGTAAAGTACTACAGTTCTTACACTTCTGCTCATACTGGCTCTCATTCATCATGTCAGCAAACTTGTTGAGTCTTTAAAAGCTAATATGAGGCTCCAGGAGTCTGAGTTAGTGGGTATCTCCCAAAGTTCATATTTTTAGTTTACCATTCCCTGTGTTCCTTTGCTGAGCTGCAGCCATAGTAACAAAAGGAGTCAGTTTTTGACTAAAAGACTAACTTTGAGACAGACTTTGTGAACCTATTCTTGAATCCAACAATACATTATAAGACCTCAGTATTTCGAAAATCCTGGCTGCAGGCATGGGTTGCATATATCAAAAAGAAACGTTTTACAGCCAGTTAAATCCAGCATGAAGCGCAATACATCAAGCTGAACAATACTGAATAACCCCATCCACAGGTGGCTTATGTCTTTATGTCAAGTCAGCGGAGCTTAGCATGACTGAATGTAGGCAATAATGGTTTTTCATGTGGAGAAGCAGCTCATACAATATAAATAATGGACATTTTCCTGTCTTTACCTCCTGACCCGGGCCTGTATTTATCAAGCCTCAGCATTTTTCTAATGCATAAATTTAAACTATGACTAAATATTTTCTAATACCATATTTATAAAGCTTTCACACACACACACACACACACACACACACACGTTGAAGCTCCCCTTTGAGACATCACTTTGACTCTCAGAGCTGTAAAAAGGAAATGACGTGTTTCTCTGCCAATGTGCATTTAAATGCATTCAAAAGGCTGTAAGGCTGATCTATCCGCAATTATATAAAATTACATCATCTTTGATGGCTGATTTTGATCTAGTGGAGCATCTTGTGCTGATTTGCTAGTAGGCCTTTTTTGTTTACTATATCAAAAACCCTATTATTCCCAGGGCTTTCAGCCATATCCCAGGGCCTTCCTCACCACAGATATGCATTACAAGAGATGCTTTTGCACAACCACTGGTTTGTCTCTAGTGCAAACTGATCTACCCATTTTTTTTTCTTTCCCCGATAAGTCTTCCTGAGTAAACATATGTTTACATCTATATTGATTCTTTTTGCACAAAAATGGGTATATGCTGATTTTAATGTGTGTAATCACTTGAGTATTAATAAGCTCCTCTGACAATCTGGCAAAAAAAAAAAAAAAAAAAAAAAAAACACGCTACCATCACCCCACATTGTGTGTTTATAGCTTTTAAAGCATAGAAGATAGTTAGGCTGCCATGTGAAAAGCTTCTAAATCTGCCTGCAACCAGGTGATCTCCACTGAGAGAGTGTAGACATGGGACCTATGTGATGAGTCGCAGGTGCAGCAGGTTAAAAAGAGAGTGAGGAGTTCTCTTACCGCTACGATGTGCAGCAGAACGGCCCCAGACTTTCGTTCTGGGTTGGTAAAAAGGTCATCGGGGAACTCGTGTATTGCTGAGGAGAAAGGAAATGTAACAGTCACTACACATCAGCAGCATAACAGCAAGGTAACATGTCCCCAGCCCACCCTGAAAGGACTGAGACATCATGATGGGCCTCTGTCTCAGTGGAGCCCTACAATGAATTAGTTCGGTTTTGGTACCTCTTTTCACTGGATTATGTAATACAGCAAAAATGTCTTGTATACCTAAAAACAAATCACAGTGAGTCAAACTCAAATTTAAAAGCCTATAATCACCCCCCCCGTAAATAAAGCTGGAACAATATCAAGTACTTTGAATAAAAATTTTTTTTAAAAACACTGAAAAGGCTATAAACACGTTATGAAAATCATCTTCAGTATGTCACACCAATGACTTCATACCTATTCATGGAAGAACAAAAAAACTGATGTAAAAACTTGGGCTATATTAAGAGCCTGAAGTCATACAGAATTAAAGCAACAAGGCAGAAAGAAATCTCCTTCTCATCATCCATAGCTCCAGCTGAAACACAGTGTGATCATGGTCCCGCCATATGGCTCAGATCTCTGGGAGCACAACCGCTCCACGGTATACCTGGCTGGAGACAGAACCAGGCCGTCTTCCCAATGGGACACAGCATCTGTGGCGAACAGCCTCTGTGTGACCTGTTACTGTTGGACCCGAGCCTCAGGCTCACATCTTGTGTCCCCTTGTAACAAACCTGCAACATAACTAGAGATAGCTGTAACTTGTATAAGAAATATGCTAAACTACAGTTATTCTGCCTGCAGTATAATGCTAAGGAAAAAAACACTAAACACAAGACTAAGAGTATACAGTCATATTAGCAGTCCTGTGAGGCTATATTTTAGGCATGGAAGTGCTTTGCATGCATTGCTAATATGCTTACAAAGAAAGATTTTAGCATGAGTTTTTACAGTTATAAGGGTTTTGTAGTTTCAGCTGTATTAGGAGTTTATATGGTCAGAGTAATTTTGAAGCTTCTGTGTTGGAGTTGTAGCATCTTTTGGCCATTTATGTCTAGCTGAAAAAGACTCAACCTTCATGTTGAGTATATCAGCTGTACAATACTGTTCACACAACAAAAAAAAAAACAAACATGAGATTTGAGCCCTTGTCACATATGGACTCATGAAGTGGAACAGTGCTCACCTGAGACTTCTCACTGCATCTGTCCCAACCTCACTAATGCCCGTTTGTGACATTCGATGGTGTGAACACATGACTGAATCAGCGCAGCATTTGGAACACTGCACAGACAAAGCGAATACTGCACAGTATGTAGTCCAAGCCCACTTATCGACTGCATGCCTCCTCAGTTTCACTCAATTACATCGCATATATGGAAATGTAGTGCATTTTGTCTCTCCATATGTCATAACACGTCATCTTTGCAGCTGAGCCACGACACAAAGAAACTACAGTGCCATTTCTGACAGTGGAACACAGATTGATCAGAACATGATTTGTTGGTGTTTTGGTGTCTCAAGTGCAACACTGCAGCGCTCTGTCTGGCGTTCATTCTCCGTATCAAATTCGACAACTCTGCCTCTGATTTGGTAGTACTCATTGCCTCCGTTGGTTTGGGTTGGTGTGACAGACCACCGTCACTATGGTTGAGTATGCACTGTGACTGCCATACCAACGAGCCTGGCTCTTTGGCGTTGCATGTTTGGTTTCCTGTAGGCAGGGGTTCAAATCCGGGTGGGGTGACTGCTCTTGCCTTTCCGTCACAGTTTGTTAAAGGGTAATTTCAGTATTTTTAAACCTCAGCCCCATTTTCACATATTTTGGTGTTGAAATGACTAGTAGGTACAAAAAGTTTTGGAATCCATGCAGTAACTAGAACTGGATAGTAAACCTGATGCAAAGTATTTTTGTGGGGAAATTGTCCATCAAAATTATGTGTTTGTCACGAAAGGCTCAGACCAGGTCTCCGACATCATCATGGAAAGGTAAAACCCAGTAACATGCCTTCAGAAGCTTAAGGACTATTCTTGCTGTGAAATCTCAAGAGGCATATTGTTGCAGGAAGACAACAGTGGAAAAGGGAGTCAGATGTGGAGAGAAGAGTTTATTGTGTTGTAATGTTTGTAAATTAGGTCTTGCTACCACTTCCTCTATGCACACAACAATGTCCTCGCTCCAAAACTCTGACTCACGTTTCTACCAGCGTCTTTCTGCAACAACTGTGTGAGAATTGTCCTTGAGTGAGACTTCTGTTTCTGGTTAACAGGCTCTGAAGGAATCCGTTGCAGCTATTGCAGCTGGTTCGAGACTGCTGGCTGAAGCCAATTACTGCCCAGCTTTAAAAGATTTTTGTACCTACTAGTTATTTTGACACCAAAATGTGAAAATAAGGCCAATAAGGTAGGGGACAGGACTTGACATAAAAGCTGGTGTCTGTCAAATGAGTTGTAGAAAATTTGGCACAATAAGTGCAACTGATTAGAGTATAGAATGGAAAAAAAAAAAATTGAATGCATGAGTAATGTAGATTATGACATTAAAATGAAATAACTGGGAGAATACCTGGATGACATTGGAATCTAATAGCAAGATTGACTGTGGCAGGCCACTTTAGCTCATTTAATTTCTGACAGGTTTATATGTGCTGAATGAAACGCGTCCGAAAGCCAACGGCCACAGAAAGATGCAATCAGTTACAGGATTTGTCAGATGTGCAACTCAGAGGTGACTGAAAACAAATTGATGCCAAGGCTAAACTCCTACTGATACCTCATGGATAAATAGCCCCACACCCATATATTATTCTAGCTGTTAAAGGGTTAGGGTTACCTGTTAACTGAAAACCATGGGTAAAGTATCAGATTTGAATTCCCTGCTGTCTGAGTCTTTTCACCTCCTTCCTCCATGTTCAGCTACCAAACCTGCAGGTCTGCCATTAATCAATAATTAAATGCCTTTGCCATCCGTGTTCTATAGTTAGTCTTGTTCAGCCCCATGCCACTGTATACAATCAGGTCTGGTTGAGTGTGCTAAAAATGGGTCATCACATTAAAAAGGTGTGTAAAGGGCGCCAGCGCTGGGAAAAGCAGAGAAATGACAGGCAGGCAGGGGTCACCTCCCAGTTCCTGTAAACTGTAGACAGCTTCTACAGGGTTCGTCTGTGTCTCCTTACTTTAGAGGTTAAAGCAGACACGAACATGCCTCCACAGCCGTTTCCCCACACAAGGACAGGACTTACACACAGAAGCATGGCGACAGACAGATTGCTTATGTGATGCCTCAAATAGAATCATAAATAACATGTTGCTCGATTGACTTTGTCATTGAAGTGTCATTTTTACAGAAATTGAATAAATTGGAGAAAGCACAGCGTTATGATGCATTGTGATTTATTGCAGAAATTAGTTGACAGAAAAATCTTTACTTTCAAACCATTAATAATTTATCAAGCAAAAATCAAGCTGCAACTAACTATTTTTAGCGATTTCATCTCCTGATTATATTCTGATTAATTGATTGATTGCCCTTCACACTTTTCATAAAGCCTAAGGTGCCATCCATAAATAGCTTGTTTTACTTGCGGCCCACACATATTCAGTTTATTATACAAAGAAAAGCAGCAAATCTTCACAGGTTAGAAGCAGGAACTACTGACTTTGGCATTTTTGCAACAACAAATGACTTCAGCTTTGAACTGATTCAGCGATCAGCGAATGGATTAATCACTTGTTTCAGCTCTTAAGAGTTTGCTTGCTGTTCACCATTTTAAATAAACATCTCTTGAATACTTCAGATGTGTCTCTTGGCACTCTAGAGTCTATGCACTTTAGAGTACATCACTGATTTTCATCATCATCACGTTGAGTTGCAGCACAAATTTATCATGCAATATGGCATTTAGGTCACTAAGATAGCTGCTTTCAGAATAAAAATCTGGCAATGAGGGAGAACGTGAGTGAGGGACGTTTGGTCTGGTGTTGCAGGCAGGAGGCAAAAAAATAAATAAAAAGTCCTCTTCAGAAGCTAAGCAACAAATCTATAAATAAATCTTGGATTCTCTGTTTGGACACCTGATTGTTCCGCTTATGCAAGAAATTACTGGCAACCCTTTTGTTCATCCGTCTCCCCCCTCCTCATCTTTTCAACCCAAGAAGTAATTACAAGTCCGCTCAGAATCTTCCCATAAAGTGTTGGGAAGATTTTAGAGACAGTGCTGCCATCACAGCTTTTTTTTTTTTTTAAAAGTGGTCATGTTATGTCCTGTCATTTTCAGATTCATAATTTTATTTATGAGTTGTACCAGAGTGAAGCATTTCACTTCAATTAGATTTTTGTTTAGAGTTGTGCATGTGCAGTAGCTACTACTACTACTAGCCAATCAGAAGCAAAGTAGGCAGGGTTCTGACAAGCCGGTAAACGCAGCTTTGGTTCAGCTGTACATGTTCTCAAACCAGCTTCACTACCTAGACTGGAGCAAGTTTTAGAGTGGTAAGTTTTTCATATGTAACAAGTTGATCTTACATATCGTTTTAACTCTGCACTGTCATAATGACCTCATTAACCAAAACTAACAGGTTAAACGTGTAAAAAAAAAAAAAAGTCTGCCCCATAATATTACTCAAGTTCAGCCCAGTTCACTCAGATGATTGAAGTAATAACTGGACAATCTGCTTTTATTCCATATATGTACAATAAACAAGTGTATACTTCCTTAGAAACTGAATAAATTCAAAATTCTCAAGTCTCATATTGCCTTTACACATCACTTCCTACAGTATATAACATAAACCTCGGATAACCTTGATTTGTTGACGCATTAAAGCCAGAGCATGCCAGCAATTCTATACATTTGTGTAATTATTCCATAATCTGGTAATATTCCAGATATTATGGTGCCGTTACATAATGGAGCTCAGTATCTGGTGCCGTCTGTTGTCCCAGAGATGGGACTAGCAGGACAGTGCACAGAGCAGGCCAGTCTTCACTCACTGTGGTGACATGGGCAGAAAAAACTATTTCTAGATACACAGAGTGAGATGG